CCGCACGGCGCCGCGGGGGCTGCGGAGCCGCCGGGCAGGCTCCGCGCTCGCCCTTGCCCTTCTCGGCAGGGCGCTGAGGAGCTCGGGCGCCCGTCCCGGGCCGTGCGGGAGCCGCCGAGCGAGGGGGTTGGCGGTTAACGCACACGCCGTGGTCATCCCCGGTGGTGCTTAATCCCGCTGAGGTTTTTGGCACGTTAAAGCCATGCTCCTCAGGCCCGTGTTTCTGTGTCCAGCCCGCGGACTCTGTGACCTGTCGGGCTTGGGCCTTTTTTACATCTTGGCTATAAAGCTGCCGCAGCAGGACATGAGGTGAGTTTGATTTGACCGTCCTCAGCTTGTGCCCGTGGTGTCTGTGAGCGGGTCGCACTGAGTGCTGCTTCCAGGGCAGTGGGCACACAAGGCCATGTTCAGGCTCATTAAAGTCATGCTTATTACCTCCTAATCAGTATCTGCTGTATTAGATGTGCATTGCAGGCTTGAAGCAGCTAATAAAGGTTCTTCCAGTTTGGGAACGTTCTAGGGCAGCCTGTGTGTGACATGAAAACTGAAGAGAAATCACCCCCTCCTTGTAATTTCTTGAGTCATCTATGGAGATACCCGTTTGTCAGGAGCTGGAGTGTTACTGGTGCTGTGAATTACAGTGGAATTGTGCTCTTTTGAATGCCAAAGTTACTCAAGTTTGCAGTAGTTTTGCGTGGTGAAATGTCAGCGCTCTTCATGAGTTCCGTTTGTTCTGGCTTCTCCTTCAGTGGCCGCAGATTTTTCACTGAATGTTGAAGCAAGTGCTCACCCAGTTTAATAAAACTCTGAAGAGATCCGTGGTTCCTTTTAGCTTTAAAGCTGTGGGCTGCACTGGTTATTATATTTCTGGTATTGTTTTACAGATTCCTGTGGCCGTATGGCTACTTTTTCCTTTCCCCACCCATTAATGTTAAATAATGCTGTATTTTCCAACACATTTGAGAATGTCTCCAGCTCGGTTGCAGTGAGGGGGTCCAAAATAACCAGACAGGTATCGGCAAAGGGCAGCTGAGCGGCCGGCAGCAGCGCTGAGCTGCCCACAGGTCAGTAGCTGCGTATGCTAAAAGAGTAGCATATATTCTTTGTAATGCTACATACTTGATACTTATCCAGAGCAATAATTAATGGTGGAAAAATCAGCCCCTTGTTCAGAAATGCAGGGGGCTGCCTTCCATTTTAACCTCTTCAAACCAGGGCAGGGGTGGCGTAAGTTGAGGTTAGCTGGTGCAGACTTGGATCTTGGAGCTTTTTTTTCCTCAGAAGTCTGTAGAATACATGGTAAACAGTGCTACAGGAAAACTGTCCTTTTCCTAAGGGAGAGAAAAAACTTTTAAAAGTAAAATCTGAATGAAAGCTGACGTGAGTCCTGGTGCAAAAGTATAAAACTATTCCGATAATTCCTTCCTACGGTAGGAAGTTAATGCCGCTGTGAGCCTCAGCGCCGCTGGCGCCCACAGACAACTGTGGCTGGTTTCTTCTGGCGTTTTGGGATCTGGTGTTAAAAGAAGTGGTTGCATTCACGCTCCGGGTGTTCATTACCGTAAATTCTGTGTTTGCCACAAAAGTCAGGCTTTGAGGCCCGGATTTCACTCAGGCTTTTCCAGGAGAGTTGTTGCCATGTGTGGTACCTGCACGGTTTTGGGGAGGAGCAGGGTGAAAACAACCCTGATCCTGCCAAGCATGCAAAGGGCCAGTGCAGTTTTGTGAGGGTGAGGAGGAAGAGGCTCCCTGGAGAGCCTGGATTTGGGATGATTTGAATTTCAGTTTCACTGTGTGAAATAATACGAGCTCTTCTGTGAATGTCCCAGTGTGAGTGGAAAGCTCTTGATGTTGCACAAAGCTTGAGCAACTCTGAGGTCCTGCTTTAAATTAAAAAAAGCTGCCCCACCTGTGTTAAATTTAGTTGTTCAAAATAATATTTTCCCCAGGTTTTCAATACTACTTGTTTATCAGCAATCGTCTTCTGCACCAACTTTTCATTGTTTGAAACCCTGCCGAATCAGGAGCAATGTTGTACAGGTGCATTTAGTACTTGAGAGATCTTCTAATAATTGCTATAAAAGGTGCTTTATAACTTAGTTGCATGCACTTAGTTTGGAATTTACACATTTGATCTTTATTTCAAAGGACACCTGTAAGAAATAGATGACTAAAATACTGTATCGTTTGGGAAACCAGTCAAGATACCGGGTATTTTGTATTGCTCTATTCAGCCTTTTCCTCTTGGGATAGCAAAAATGAGGGCAGATGCTGCTGCTGCATTACTTAAACAGTAAGTCTCAGCATGGCTTTCCTTCCAGAGCTCGTGGGGTAGCGACAGTGCTGCAAGGCTCGCGTTGGAGGGAGCTGTGGGGCTAGTGTTATCCCCCCAGTGATGGAAAATCCTTTTCCCGGAAGAACTGAGCACAAACAGGGTCTGGAGATGTCTGACACCTTGTTGTAGCGCTTGTGTGAGCGCTTACAGGGAGGAGATTCCTCATTTATGGCAGAAAGGGCTCTCTCCCTTTGGGTTTAGCGTGCTGAGAAGCCACCTCTTCCACCAAGCCGAGCACCTTTGCCTTGTTAAGTCGTTCTCTGGAGTCTTCAGGGAGTTTATTACCTGATGTCGGGAATAATGAGATTGGTTATTTTTTCCCTCTGTGG